AAACTTTCAGATACTTTGCTTTACATTCAGTTCGATACATGTTGTTTAAAGTAGCATGTCTTCTCAACCTTAAATATTTTCGTCTTTTATGTTCAACACTTTACTGCGTATATCAGTTTCTTTGATAAAAATAGAATTGGAAACATCCCATTATCACACAAGTCAATCAAAATGACGTCTTCTCAACACATCAAGGACAATATAAAGATAATAAAGTGGTGCACGCATGATTGATTTTGTCAATTACTTCATCCTGGTGTAGGACCTAGGACGGCTCAAAGGGCATATGAATTTCACGACACAAACTTGGCCCCACGCCCTACTGTTATAGGTATTACGTTGTTGAATGAAGCCTTGGGATGTCTCGATACGGCATAAGGGTTATATGTAACAGATCTTTGCGGATAAGCACCATCTCTGGTATTGAACCAGGGTAAGCTTCATAATTATTATACTTAATAAAGAACATGCTGTTGTTCCCCATCAATCAACAAGATGTTGTATATACTGATAGTACTAGGTATATATATATATATATATATGTACTGATAGTACTAGGTATATATATATATGTACTGATAGTACTAGGTATATATATATATATATATATATATATATATATATATATATATATCACATAGTTCCTGGTTGTGTATTCTGGACTGATTAGACAAATAATATGGATGACAGGCGGCCATCTTGGATTCTTATAATGACAATGTGTTATCGATGAATGGATCTTTCTCAGATTTTTCATGTAGGTTTAGATAGGTCCATTATTGTCCTCTTGTGTTACTTGCACTGATAAGAACAGAAATGGCAGCTATCGCTATTTATTAAAGCCCCAATATACGTAACATTCACAGAAAATTTAGTGTAGAATCACACATAATTATTGAGACATTCTTTAAGATGTAGTTAAAATTAAGTTATTCAAACAATAGTTACTATGACTTTGTGCATAAAGTATTGATATATGAGCAGTTGAAACTCGCTCTTTGTAAACACACCTCCATTTTAAACACGCCGCCATCGAAATTACTATTGTTGCCGAACCACGTCGGAAAGTTCATTACCTGATCTCGCGAGAGTTGAGGTTTCTACTTATACATGCAGATATGTCTACGGCAAGTTTTTGTTTACAAACATTGAATCCACCTCCTTTCTATACCTTTTCTTAGCACTTTCTGTAAGAGTACTCTTCGGACCACGTCGTCTTTTCTTAGCTGTGTCTGCCATGTTTACACAAGGGGAATATGCGCATGCGCAATATCATCGCTACGAGCGGTAATATATGAATTATTGTGGGTCCCACATTGTTTATTTTCCGATTTTTTCAATTTTTATTTAAATTGAAAACAGTCAGTTTTTGTTCTTTAATTAAAGGAAAGTATTTGTTTTGTTATATATATTACGGGGAAAATAAGATAAAGTTTGTTTTTAGAGTGATTTTTACGTATATTGGGGCTTTAAGAGGAATTTTCGAAAGAATATAAAAGAAAAGGACAGGTTCAACAACATGATTTACGAAACATCAAGAAAGAATTATTTTGGCTGGTTTATATGCATGTAAGGTATGCCGACACCAGGTACAATGATCCGATATGATATACCTTGGTTGGTTGGTTGACAGGTTTTCTGTCTCCGCGAATTCCCTGTGTCCGGGTATCGTCTTGCCGATGAACGTCATGTAGAGAAGCTGAAAGGAAGAATTGGGGGCCTGTCTATATTTGGTTAACAATTTATATATTATGGGTAATTTTGAAGTCCATCAAATGCCTAAAAATAATTGTATACCCTACAATGAGAATGGACAGTTATAACGAGGACCACCGTTTTAAGTCCTATCCATCGGACTATAGTTAGTGATTAGAACGGCGCAGGTGTAATTACAACTAACTTTTTTATTGTTTTTTTCCCCTTCTTGACACGTTTCCAATCATACCGACTTAATTACTTGATCACTTTACAAAGGTCTATTGTTTTCTGATAATCCACTCCACTCCGGCTACATACGTCTGTTCACTTCACCGACTTTTTTCGTTTATATATGTGATATGTGTGAATGTGCTGATCTGGAAAGGTTATGAGAGGTTTTTGCAAGATAAGTTACGTTGAAGTATAAAGTGTTATTATAGGGTGAGATTATCCAGAATAGTTTTTTGACAGAGAAAGATTCACTACACATGTAGGATGGTTGGACTGTGTTTAATGCTATGTGTTTAGAACGAGTAATTTGCTACATCTAACTGGTTATATTTTGAGTATAGAGAAATTAAATTTTCTCGCACCTCAGACAGGGATACCCCACGTAATACCCCATCCAAGGTTTTTCTATCTCGCCCGATCTGTCTGGTACATTTACGTGCGTTTTCGCGGAATACTTAATTCCGTTTTATTTATTCTAATATAGTGTATTTATCCGCGAGTAGGCGTATGTGGCACCTACAACTGGGTATTTCAACAAAAAAACCAATGACATTTTATTTAATCAATCATTTTCTTTTAATGAAATAATAAATCTTCGCTATAAAATGTGTCGTTTATGTGTGTGTGTGTGTGTGTGTGTGTGTGTGTGTGTGTGTGTGTGTGTGTGTGTGTGTGTGTGTGTGTGTGTGTGTGTGAGGGTGTGTGTGTGTGTGTGTGTGTGTGTGTGTGTGTAAGTGCGGCCTACATTCGGTTTACACGGCACTATCCAAACGTTGTTTAAAAGAGAAGAGGCTGTGTGGGCAGTTTGAGGCTCCTACGGGATACGCCAAACTCTGATGAAATATTGAGTATTTTTTAGAGTAGTAGGTGCGAGACAAAATCTATTACCTGTATGTAAGCAAGATCGGAGTGTCTCGATCGATGATTAAAATCCTGTAACATAACGCCTCGGATGGGATTATGTTACATGATCTAAGCCCCTCGGAAACCCCCGGTGGAACACAACTGCCTTTGCTGTATGTGTATTTTTACCATTGTGAATGCAGTGGTTGGGGCACAGAGGAGGACACCGCATACCTCACGAGGTGTTAGAATGCGACAATGAATGATAAGATCAGTAATTATTCTCTTTGGTACAGTCTCCCTGGGTATCATGGGGACTCTACCTGTTGTGTATAGTGTTGTGTAGGTTTCTGGAGTTGTCTCCCTTCTGTATTGTGGTTAATTTGAAGTGCTATATACATGTTGATCGTTTTGCTTACTGTGTGTGGCTTGGTTGTAGTTGCAGCAATATCAGATTACTAACTCAAAATTTCGGATTACTAACTCGAAATTTCGAGTTAATTTATTACAATTACTAAGTAGCATCCGTTTTTTTTTATTCTTGATGAGAGAACGAATTCTGTGGATTTAAATATTTCAGTTTGTCATCGCTAACTCCCGACAAATCTATTAAATTCGATTCATCGCGTTTGAATTCCTTTTACTTGAGACTGATTTGGACCAAAGCGTTCGTCAGCCATCTTGAATTTTGGAACTTAGAGTTTGTTTTTGCTTTCTCTTGAGAACAAAATGGATCGTCCCGAAATTTGATAATTTTCTTGTAATCTTATTTAAATCTGTTTAATTTAAGGTATGAAAGGGCTATCCGTGAAGAGTAGGACAATTTTGGGTTTAGGTTTGATTATTTGTATTAGAGAATACCACAAGATTCTTTCTCAAATTGCATTATGTTTGCTTCCCTTCAAAGATCTTACCGCGATAGGAGCAAATTAAAGGAAATAAAAAGGAAAAAATCTAACTTTTATTGAACAAATGAGATCGTACGGTGCTATGTGCCAAAATCCTTCTTTGGTCTCTTGTCTCGAAACTCGAGATGTCACACTAAACTTCCTTTTAAAGTGAGAAGTTGGAATGAATCATAAGCCATTCAAATATATCAAGACAATTTTATAAAAATCATTGTTTAAGTATTTACAACATACGACGAAACATTGACTCGTTATACCATCTCAGTAAAAATCACTAGAATTGCTTCATTTGGAAACTCATAGTTTTCAAATTTAATTTTTGATTTTAAAATCAGTTTTGCAACAGAAACATTTATATTTTATATTTTCGTTCAATAAGTCGACTTGATTTCAAACCTTTCACTCGTCTTAAACAATTTTATTAATGTACTCAAAGCGTTGATAATAATTGTGTTTCCGTTTGAGATCACGATATCTGTTTTAGACCTCTAAAAATTAATAACTATCAAAACTCTTAAGTGAATCATAACTCTTGATTATATGTTCATGGCAACACTGAAATACCGGTGTGTAAACAAAACCTCAATGTAACCCAAATCTAATAACACAGTAGTACAATACGAAATATAGACCTTGGAATGTACATCAGCAACAAGAGTAGGTGTAATACAAAAATTTCGAAAGCTTCTTCGACGGATCGTAATACTTTTTTTCAAAACAAAAACAAACAAAAAACGAACGGACGGCGAGACGGACGGACGGACGTAGAAATAATGACGTCATCTGGAAAACTACAGAGCATTGAATTTCATATCACCCAAGAAAATAAACTCCCTGAAAAGTTGATGATAAGGATCATAGCTCTTTTCTATGGTCTCCCTTAATCTTGAAATTCTGTTATAGTGCTACCTGGTCGTATTCTTGTACTTTTTTCAGGAATCTCTGTAATTTTCTCTTTTGTTCATATTTTGCTCCAGTTTTGTTAAGTCTATGTTTGGAGTATGATTTTATTCAAGTATATTTATTTTTTATTCATATTCATTAATTAACATCTATTACGGTAATTGTAACTTATTAACTACTACATCATATTTGTTGAAAGTTGGAATGTTACTATCTATAAATAGAAAGTTCACAGTAGGGAAATCGAAATCATTATGCTTAACACACAATATCGTGGTAAATTTACACGTGGCAAGCGGATCGAGTCGGATAGAGAGCCCGATTCTCCTCGTTTTCAAGGGTTTGACGGAACATCTGATAAGTATGACTTACGATATGAACAATTAAGCAAACTACTGAAATATCGACATGGTTCGTTCAAGGTTCACTCTGTGCTATATCAGGATATAAAACAGGTGTATTATAGCCAATATACAGCGCAGTAATGAACGTGCAGGTTACGATGAAAACAATGAACAAGAAAAGTCTAAGGAAGCTTTTATCCAGCAGCCGTCCGATTTCAATCCACGTGCAAGATTCAATGGCATAACTGCCTTCCAATTCTTGTACGATGGCTTTTCCTTGTGTGTCCTTCTTTAGGTTGTTTGATACCTCTTTAGACGCGTCCATGGTATTTCTGGTTTTAACAAACGAACAGCGGCAGAAATGTGAATGTCTCTTTTGCATTTGAAGGCTCAGTATCAGCAGGAAATCGACCGTCAGCATCACCCATTTAGGTACTTCCGCTTGCTGATCTGTATGGTGACATTCCAGTACCATGATTGTTAAGATGACAGATAACATTCCCAGTGTAAGGATGAATAAGAGATACAACGCTGAAACAAAATTAAAGGTTAAGATAAGAAACGGTAACATCAATCACAAAAAAGGACAAATGGTGGTATTTTGTTACTTTAGAGAGAATTCTGGTTAGTATTTAAATGCTTTTAAATAAAGTGAAGAATTTTTACTACAACTCTGAATTGTGTATTAATCTACTGATCCCTTACATATCAGCTCAGACGCGAGAGACACAAGTGATCAGGATCTGATAAATAATGTGTTAGTGTCACACTACTGTTTTGGATTTGTGATGTTGAAATATTATTAGTATCACACTACTGTTTTGTCTTTGTGATGTTGAAATATTATTAGTATCACACTACTGTTTTGTCTTTGTGATGTTAAAAAAATGTGTAAGTATCACATTGCTGTTTTGTCTTTGTGATGTTGAAATAATGTGTAAGTATCACACTGCTGTTTTGTCTTTGTGATGTTGAAATAATGTGTAAGTATCGCAATGCTGTTTTGTCTATGTGATGTTGTTTTGTCTTTGTGATGTTTAAATAATGTGTAAGTATCACACTGCTGTTTTGTCTTTGTGATGTTGAAATAATGTGTAAGTATCACACTGCTGTTTTGTCTTTGTGATGTTGAAATAATGTGTAAGTATCACACTGCTGTTTTGTCTTTGTGATGTTGAAATATTATTAGTATGACATTGCTGTTTTGTCTATGTGATGTTGTTTTGTCTTTGTGATGTTTAAATAATGTGTAAGTATCACACTGCTGTTTTGTCTTTGTGATGTTGAAATAATGTGTAAGTATCACACTGCTGTTTTGTCTATGTGATGTTGAAATAATGTGTAAGTATTACACTGCTGTTTTGTCTATGTGATGTTGTTTTGTCTTTGTGATGTTGAAATAATGTGTAAGTATCACACTGCTGTTTTGTCTTTGTGATGTTGAAATAATGTGTAAGTATCACACTGCTGTTTTGTCTTTGTGATGTTGAAATATTATTAGTATGACATTGCTGTTTTGTCTATGTGATGTTGAAATATTATTAATATGACATTGCTGTTTTGTCTTTGTGATGTTGAAATAATGTGTAAGTATCACACTGCTGTTTTGTCTTTGTGATGTTGAAATATTATTAGTATGACATTGCTGTTTTGTCTATGTGATGTTGAAATATTATTAATATGACATTGCTGTTTTGTCTTTGTGATGTTGAAATAATGTGTAAGTATCACACTGCTGTTTTGTCTTTGTGATGTTGAAATATTATTAGTATGACATTGCTGTTTTGTCTATGTGATGTTGCAATATTATTAATATGACATTGCTGTTTTGTCTTTGTGATGTTGAAATATTATTAATATGACATTGCTGTTTTGTCTATGTGATGTTGTTTTGTCTTTGTGATGTTGAAATAATGTGTAAGTATCACACTGCTGTTTTGTCTTTGTGATGTTGAAATATTATTAGTATGACATTGCTGTTTTGTCTATGTGATGTTGTTTTGTCTTTGTGATGTTGAAATAATGTGTAAGTATCACACTGCTGTTTAGTCTATGTGATGTTGTTTTGTCTTTGTGATGTTGAAATAATGTGTAAGTATCACACTGCTGTTTTGTCTATGTGATGTTGAAATAATGTGTAAGTATCACACTGCTGTTTTGTCTTTGTGATGTTGCAATATTATTAGTATGACATTGCTGTTTTGTCTATGTGATGTTGTTTTGTCTTTGTGATGTTGAAATAATGTGTAAGTATCACACTGCTGTTTTGTCTTTGTGATGTTGAAATAATGTGTAAGTATCACACTGCTGTTTTGTCTATGTGATGTTGTTTTGTCTTTGTGATGTTGAAATAATGTGTAAGTATCACACTGCTGTTTTGTCTTTGTGATGTTGAAATAATGTGCAAGTATCACATTGCTGTTTTGTCTTTGTGATGTTGAAATAATGTGCAAGTATCACACTGCTGTTTTGTCTTTGTGATGTTGAAATATTATTAGTATCACATTGCTGTTTTGTCTATGTGATGTTGTTTTGTCTTTGTGATGTTGAAATAATGTGTAAGTATCACACTGCTGTTTTGTCTTTGTGATGTTGAAATAATGTGTAAGTATCACACTGCTGTTTTGTCTTTGTGATGTTGCAATATTATTAATATGACATTGCTGTTTTGTCTTTGTGATGTTGAAATAATGTGTAAGTATCACACTGCTGTTTTGTCTATGTGATGTTGAAATAATGTGTAAGTATCACACTGCTGTTTTGTCTTTGTGATGTTGAAATAATGTGTAAGTATCACACTGCTGTTTTGTCTATGTGATGTTGAAATATTATTAGTATGACATTGCTGTTTTGTCTTTGTGATGTTGAAATAATGTGTAAGTATCACACTGCTGTTTTGTCTTTGTGATGTTGAAATATTATTAGTATGACATTGCTGTTTTGTCTATGTGATGTTGTTTTGTCTTTGTGATGTTGAAATAATGTGTAAGTATCACACTGCTGTTTTGTCTTTGTGATGTTGAAATATTATTAGTATGACATTGCTGTTTTGTCTATGTGATGTTGTTTTGTCTTTGTGATGTTGAAATAATGTGTAAGTATCACACTGCTGTTTTGTCTTTGTGATGTTGAAATAATGTGTAAGTATCACACTGCTGTTTTGTCTTTGTGATGTTGAAATAATGTGTAAGTATCACACTGCTGTTTTGTCTTTGTGATGTTGAAATAATGTGTAAGTATCACACTGCTGTTTTGTCTTTGTGATGTTGAAATATTATTAGTATGACATTGCTGTTTTGTCTATGTGATGTTGTTTTGTCTTTGTGATGTTTAAATAATGTGTAAGTATCACACTGCTTTTTTGTCAATATGTTAAAATAATGTGTAAGTATCACACTGCTGTTTTGTCAATGTGATGTTAAAATAATGTGTAAGTATTACACTGCTGTTTGTCAATTTGATGTTAAAATAATGTGTATCACACTGCTGTTTGTCAATTTGTTGTTAAAATAATGTGTATCACACTGCTGTTTGTCAATTTGATGTTGAAATAATGTGTTAAACACCGCCTGAACATGTAAGGACTCTGCACCCTTGAACTATTACAAATCTAAAAGGATATTAACACTACAGAGGAGTTATAATGAAGGTTTGGGTTATGTGTTCTCTGTCTAATACTTTCTGAACCATGCAATTTCTTTTCAAATCTAAAAGAAAACTTACACAATAGTGGAGTAGTGACATATGTCGCTGGTATGTCCTCAGCCACTAGAGTCAGATACACGGCATACGACAACAGAACCGTCAGTGAGTACCCAATTCTCTCTCCAGATTCGGCGGGAAGTTTGAACGCCATACAGCTCAGAAACGCCAGCAGTATTGTAGGGGTCAGTGTGTTGAGTACATGGTACATTGGTCGACGTTTCAATATAAAAATAAAACTCACAGTTGAAAAGGTGTTCTTTCCTTTCCCTTTCAGTGTGGATCTCGTTGAAGATGAGATATATTCCCACTCTCCATTTTTCTTTAAATTATCGATGGCTAATGGTGAACTGTTTAACATGATCTCGAATGAAGTGTATCCAAATGGCCTTACAGTGATTTCACAGACTTGAGTATCAAATGGATAGAATGTGACGTCAGTCTCACATACTGTTTTGTATATTCCAGACGGGGTCCACAAGATACTGCCGTCATACAACAGCCGGATCGGTATGGAAGTATCACTCATGACAGACATGTCGCTCACACTGAAATGTATTCAACATTTGGGGTGAATTTTTTGTTTTGTTGTGTGTGTGTAATTTTTTTTTTTTTTTTTTTCGTTGTTTTGTATTGTCTTTTTTTAGATGCTGGAAAAGAAATAGCTTTAGGTTTGCGGAAATATTATCGCCTTATAGTACATTTTTCCGTGTTAACCAAAAGAATGTTTATTCATGAAAATAAGGTGACGAGAATTTATCAGTTGATTTTATTTTTAAAAATGTTAATTCCTGTTATTGTTGTTGACATCCTGAACAGCATTGCTTGTTTGATGATTACTGGCAGCATACAGTTATATAAGCGTATCATATAATGTTCATTGTCAGGAGTAACTATACAGGTAATTGCTCATAAAACATTAAATATTTAACAAAATCCACTTTAATTGTTGTATACATATGATTTGTCTTCGTATTGTTTGTTTACTTGACAAGTTGTTAATTGACTTCAAACATTATTTTTGGCATTAATAGATGACAAGTTCAAAATATCCGAACATTTCTTATGTTCGTTTACTTGCTTTTATCCTAAATTTTATAGATCTCTTTTTCATACTTCAATGTAAAATATCTAAGTTAAGCCACTATCTCAACCACCTACACATCAACCCCCAACTTCCCCCTACCCTTACTCCAACCCCTATCCCCACTCTCACTCCCAACACCCCCCTACCCTAACTCCAACCCCTATCCCCACTCTCACTCCCACTCCCACCCCCCCCCCACCCTCACTCCAACTCCTATCCCCACTCTCACTTCCACCCCCTACCCTCACTCCAACTCCTATCCCCACTTTCACTCCCACCCCCCTACCCTCACTCCAACCCCTATGCCGACTCTCACTTCCACCCCCTACCCTCACTCCAACTCCTATCCCCACTTTCACTCCCACCCCCCTACCCACACTCCAACCCCTATGCCCACTCTCACTCCCACCCCCAACCCCCTACCCTCACTCCAACCCCTTTCCCCACTCTCACTTCCACCCCCTACCCTCACTCCAACCCCTATCCCCACTCTCACTCCCACTCCCACCCACCCCCCCACCCTCACTCCAACCCCTATCCCCACTCTCACTTCCACCCCCTACCCTTACTCCAACTCCTATCCCCACTTTCACTCCCACCCCCTACCCTCACTCCAACTCCTATCCCCACTTTCACTCCCACCCCCCTACCCTCACTCCAACCCCTATCTCCACTCTCACTCCCACCCCCCTACCCTCACTCCAACCCCTATCCCCACTCTCACTCCCACCCTCACTCCAACTCCTATCCCCACTCTCACCCCCACCCCCCTACCCTCACTCCAACTCCTATCCCCACTCTCACTCCCACCCCCCTACCCTCACTCCAACTCCTAACCCCATCTCACTCCCACCCCCAGCCCCCTACCCTCACTCCGACCCCTACTCCACTCCAACTCCTACGCCCTCACTCATTGCCACCCCTGGTATAAAGCGATATAAATTCGGTGCCGATATATACTTACGAATTGTCTAATATTAGAGCCGGCCGCCATATTGTTTCCTCATCCGTATGTATAGCCATGATATCAGAACTAAACTTTGGGTTCTGACTCCAGTCTAGTCTTTTGTCAATCCAAGCCTGCAGACAAACAGATTTCACGACTGTAAGTGTGTGACTATAGAGTTTTATACACAATGAAAGAAACATCGGGAGTCTCAACCAGAGGGAAATATTTCTAAGATAAATAAAATTTATTAGACAAATAGATGGAATGCTGACCTCCTTATCACAAGAAAAAATAACGTGAAAATACTAAGTTTCCATATGGTTTACCGAGTTTAAATCTGCATAACAACCAAAGAATGAAAATCTACCAAAGTCCTTTACTTGACCATCTTCTATTATTAAACTATTCAGGAAGTTATGCTTTGATAGAGAAATTTTCGAGGATAATTTTGATGATTAAAAAGAGGGTGTCTCCGTGCTTTAATTTTTTTGTTATTCTCACCCAAACATCCAGTTTGTCCAAGATCAAGAAACACATTCTCGCGGGTCCTAAAAATCCGGGAAAGTGATCCACCAATATACGAATTTGAAACCTGTGGTTTGTGGTTATTAATCATGCCAAAATCTACCGAAGACTTCCAGAGTTAAAATTACCTTAGCACTCAGAAAACGTTGCTGTTGTTGACAAGACGCTGTTAATCGAATCAAGCTGTCAACTACGCCATCAAAAAAGTAGTCCACATGCAAAATGTCTTCAAAACGTGAAAAAAGTAGTCCACATGCAAAATGTCTTCAAAACGTGAAAAAAGTAGTCCACACGCAAAATGTCTTCAAAACGTCAAAAAAGTAGTCCACACACAAAATGTCTTCAAAACGTGAAAAAAGTAGTCCACATGCAAAATGTCTTCAAAACGTGAAAAAAGTAGTCCACACGCAAAATGTCTTCAAAACGTGAAAAAGTAGTCCACATGCAAAATGTCTTCAAAACGTGAAAAAAGTAGTCCACACGCAAAATGTCTTCAAAACGTGAAAAAGTAGTCCACACGCAAAATGTCTTCAAAACGTCAAAAAAGTAGTCCACACGCAAAATGTCTTCAAAACGTCAAAAAAGTAGTCCACACACAAAATGTCTTCAAAACGTGAAAAAGTAGTCCACACGCAAAATGTCTTCAAAACGTCAAAAAAGTAGTCCACACGCAAAGTGTCTTCAAAACGTCCTAATTATCGTCCTTTTTGAGTTTAAAAATTCATCTATAGATAGCAAATGTAAAAGAGCTTAAAAGTCCAAGATTACGTGTCGGAATTAATTTTATAATGAAATATGTCTTACTTCGGGTCAAAGGAACACTTCCTTAATGTTACACAAAATGCATCAAAATTAATACAACATTGTCGATGATGCTTAAGACCTTAAGGATTGAAACCTAAAAGGCGACAACTAAATTGGTCTGTATTGTCTGCCTGTAATATAAACGGGTTGTATTGTAGAGTTAGCTGACATTCAAGCTCGTGTAAATATCTACAGGGGGCACTTTTTGTATGAAGGAAAAGTTCTTACCATTCTGAAGTAACCAGTGGTGGTTAAAAGCTGGTCCCGAACATCCTGGTAAAATCAAAAGAAAACAAATCACCACAGAGATAATAAGTGAGAATCATTTCAGCATAGCTTCAATTACGATATTACATCCAAGATGACGGATGTTCTAATGAATCCAGAGTTAGTAGTTTGAACAGCACAAACTTTAGAAATGAAAAAAAAACTATTAAGGTTAATTTCAAAACAAATATAATTCTGTTACTATTCAGGAAAATAGGGACCTGTTGTTTATCCATGTAAATAGATACATGTATATGTAATTTTGCAGGTGTAAATGGTTGTCCGAGATTATAAATTACATATTTATACAAATTGGTCCAGCACTCTATATCCACGAAGTCAATACCCGGTATACACAGAAATCGTCATCAGATGTTTGACATGAAGAGTCCGATACGCGACATTCTATAGGATAAGATAGTTATGAGAACTAGGAATTATGACAATCGGATATGAAATGGATTTTGAAACGCACGGGAACTCAATATTCTAGTTGGTCACCTCGTTTTTGATACAGAGGTTGACAAATTGACAATTTTTTGCACTACGTCGAATAAGACAGAATGGTTTTAACAGACATTTTAAGTTTCATCATCAAATATTTGTGAAAAGATGAAATCTTCTAAACCAGGAAACCACTCATTTTTCACCAGAGTGGGCTTGATTAGAACGTTAAACAAGCGAGATCAAAAGCAGAGTTAACGCCCGCTTCTACCAAACAGCTGACACTACTTATCAAATAAAAACTTTTCACCTCTCATTAAATCCTACTTCATTTACAAACTCATTTATTTCAGTGTTACGTGTTTAGCAGGTGTTTGAACATTTAGACCATTCATGTTCATGTTAAAATGTAACCCGTTGCTTTAATTAAACAAAACATATTTACCAGGGAGTTAAAAGTGATGACACTGAGAGAGACATTGACATCTACTGTCGCAACCGGTCGGGTTTGTTTCTGGTAAGAATTTTTCATGAAGATCAGCTCCCGGAGTTGGAATTCCTTCTGATGGGAGTAATTTGTAGCTTCAAGGTCGTGTAATCCTGTAATATCTAGCAATGATACATTAGATATTGTTTCAAGATATGAAATTGAAACATCGGCTAATTAAGGTAAGTTTATTAACTGATACAGGATCTCATGAGATCCTCTTTATTCGGACTCAAAAACATGACATAAAAATTAAAATGAGAGAGAATGCGACGTTACATGTTGATGAATCTTAGATCTAGTATTATAGAGAAGTTCCTGATTTTGCCAATACGTATGCAGTCTGTTTTTTTTTTTTTTTTTTTTAAATATATTTACGGTCGACGATAATACCACAATTCCTGGAAGACTATTCCAAACTTTCGCAATACGTAAGGAAAAAATGTTCATGCGAATACCTAATCTGGAATGTTGTGGACATATTTTCAGCGAATGACCTCTTATTCCCGGCCTTTGTGAATGGTCTTTTCACATCCTAATGACATCCTAATATTTACACGAACAACCAAACTGTTGCAATGTTATTGATAATTATTATTTCAATAAAGCGTTGTAGCGACCAAGGATGTCTCATCTTCATTTAAATGTGCCATGTGTGTTGTTATTGTAGTGACCAGCTAGGTACATTAATTGTAGAAATGTTCACCGCTACTTCACTAGGAGTCACTCCTAGTGTAAACTTGTTACAACGGTCCAGGCTACATGGAAATGTGTCACGATGAAGGAATGCTCCTGTACCAGATGTGTTATGTATTAAAAGTCAAGGTTTCGAGTTATCTGCCAAAAAAATAATCCGTCCGTATTGGATATAATAATACGTCTGTATATCTGTTTGTATATACACCTCATGTTGGTTTCTTAGCCAAACAAGATCGAGATAAGAGGTAAAAGAGTTTGTCGAGATTTCCAGTACTTGCGGTATATACGATGGACGTGGTCAATAAATTTCTTTATGTTTAAAGACGTCATCAATATATCTATAAGAGAAATTAAACGACTTTACGATCTATTTGTGACCTGTTTTGATAAGCTCTTCGATAAATTCAGCCTCGTATGAAAACAGAAACAGATCAGCCAAGAGAAGCACAGTTCGTTCCCATCTGTATACCAATCGTCTGTTGGAAGATCTTACCACCAAACTCGACGAAGATGTTGTCCACCAGAAACTCGATCAGTTAACTTGAATATGTACAGTACTCGACTCTCCTTAAAATGATTAGATTTGTGTACCTTATGTAGATTTCCCACAAAGACTCTTAGGATCACTAAAGTATGCCACACCTGTATGATGGAGTTAAATTCTAGATTTCCCACACAGACTCTTAGCGTCATCGAAGTGTGATACACCTGTATGATGCAGTCGAATTACAGATCTCCCCCAGTAGACTCCCAGTATCACTAAAGATGACACACCTGTATGATGTATTTTAATTAATTATTTAACATATACCGTATGTATTACTAGATTTCAATCGCAATTCACTGGAGACTTTTGTCCAAACGTTTAACAGATTGGAAATATAAAGTTTTGTAAATATCTGACATTGGACAATGCTATCCTTGTCGCCGGGAGCAAACAACAGTTTTATCTATCATTTTATCTAAATCGTTAGAGTACCAAGTGTATATGTACAACTTTTCATTTAAACACGATATCCTCGTCAATAAACGATTGTGTTACGTACTCTGAAACTCATTACGTTGTGTCCATGGATACAATCCTCTAGACATCTTAATGAAATGTTCAGTACCATTTAATATTTACCACAAGAATGATTCAAGCATTTGGGAATTTCTACGCCAACACTAAACGGTAAAATTGATGATTAAAAACCGTTTTTAATTTCCGACATGAGATGAAAAAAATAAACTTTTGCCAATATATCGAACATTACAGAGATTATATAATGATAGAGAGGATAAAAACAGATATGTATGGACATGTTGACCTCAGATAGAATGTATAAACATGTACTTAAACAAGGCATCAGAGATAATAATATTCTAACTGCACGAGGATTCTATCATAAAAGCAAACATATTTAAAAGGACATGATTATCGATCGGATCAAACAACAGTATAAAATGTGTTTTGTTCAATACAACCGACTTAATGTCATTGTTTTAATCAGTTTTATTGATATCAGAAATTTTAATTACCTATGGACGTTTTTGTCTGTTTGCTGCTTGCTGGATTTATCGTCCCATGAACAGCCAGGGTCAATATAAGGTGGGGTTTCCTTGTAGTAACTGGTGACTAACTCACTGAACAACATACGGAGACCCATCGTATGCCATTAAGAGCGAATAGGGTGAAGTGTCTTCCCCTGTCCGTTTCTCAGCGTACTGAGAAACACAATGCGACAAGGACAGGGAGCGTCGAAGCACGGACCTCTGATCTTCACAGGGCCAATATTCTTTGTTTTTCTCTAACCGACTGAGCTATTACGGCCCCAAGGTGACCAAGACGTTATCTTACTGAGCTGGGTATCGTTAATGGCTGTATGAAGTTGACCATCGGACAAAAGCACGACTATCATTTCTATGTATTGTAACTATGACCTCAATTTCAACCCGAAGAAAGACTCTCCTTGTACATGATGTTAAAAAGTGTTATATAATGTGGCTTTTGGGTACCCGAGGAAATCTCTTTCTAGTAAAAGTGAGCTCGATTTTAATATGAAAAGGTTAAAACGTACCCTTATATAGATAATTTGTATTAAGTGTATGACATTTCGTTACAATTTACATATTAACGTCCCTTCCTTCGTCCTTATCATTTATCTGTTAAATAGTGTAATGTTACATGGAACAACAAAGAAAAAACAAGAATCTACATATAGAGACAAAGATCCAGCCAATATCTGTCCAGAAATAGCGATAACAAACTTCCATTGTCTAAATCCAAGATGGCCGCCTGTGATCGATTCTGTTTCCCTAATAAATCCCAAATGGGATTATTATACATATGTAGGGACCATGGAGAATCTACATATGAAATTTGAGAACTTCTCCAGAAATAGTGATAACAAGAATTGTTGATTGACAGACTGATGGAAGGAGGACAGAGCGCGAGATTTAAACAGGTGGGCGAAAAAACAAAGTTCAATAAAGCCCAATTATAATCGATCGCGCCAGATTCCGTTTAATAAAGATGATTTTTTCAAGAAACTTTGTACAAGCCATGATATTTACAGACACGTTGATCACCAAGTCTTCATTTTTTTTAATTTAAATAAATAAATCAAATTTTGCCCCAAACATTGAATATACGAATTCAAAATTACAATATTGTGGGTTTCCTTCAAGACAGAGTTACACTGACAGTCCGGACGTTCATGAGGGCAACGAGGTTAAAACAATCTAATACAACAGCTAATATAATATGTCTTACATCATCATTATCGAAGGTATGTACAAAATTTCAAGACAACTAGAATATTTTATAGTAGACATCTCCAGTTCTCCATACCCACTAAAATCTATTTTACATTAAAATCCATGTATTCCAAATCTCATTGATTTCTACTCACACTTACTTACGTTCGTCACTGCTATAAATAGAAACGAGGAATGTAAGTTATGTCAGTAGATACAGAACATGCCTCAAACACAAAATGCTTAAAACAGACATATTTATGTTGTGTGTCTGGTCAATGCTTATAACATACAACTAAACATTTACTGCAAACAACACGAAAATACTACCATGTAAACATAATCATAATCCAAACTCAAATTCAATCAAACTGGGGTAAAATAGGAACAAATGAAAGATCTACGCGAAGACACCTGAAAATGTACAAGGAGAATAAGACCAGGTGTTCCTGCGCACTTTTTCTGCTTTATCGACAACACAAGTAAGTTATGCCACGTTTCCAAACGAAAAAAAGTTATACAACAACGGAGCTAACAAAAGGTGGGTACTAAATGAAGGACTGATCGAAGTAAATATTTATAGATTTAACTTATATACGGGATGAAAGTGGAAACGCACGTAAGTGGTATCTTATACAGGTGAACTTGGCCATATAAAAAAAAAACATTTCAAGTTAGAAAGGAAAAAAATGGAAACTTGCATGTACTATATATTATAACATGACTTCAAGGAGGTTAATTTGTAAAAAAAAAAATACATTTCAGAATATTATTGATAAGTTGATAAAAATTGTAGTATGTATGTATTATTTCCCAGTTCCGGACTAACAAGTATGCTAATACACTTTGAAATACAAAGTAACTTACCTGTAAAACACAAAAAGATCAATAAAAAAAACCTGAAATGTCCTCATCTTGTGTTTCTAGTCTTCTGCCTGTTGAACGATGGTGTCAGTACAATGTTCTGTTCTATTTTACAGTGTTACAGTGGCCAATTAAACTCTAATACTGCAATGATTCCATCAGATGGTTAGATAATGACAACCATTCCTGAATCATTAACGACATTTTAATCTCCCGTTACTGAACATTAACGACACGATAAGGAATAATGACTATTTATATGTATGGGACAGTATCAAACATTTATCACTCATCATGTGGTATCTATGCCCTAGTTGAGGACAATTGACACAAGCTAAATCAACCGAAGTTCTGTTATAGACAGGGAAAATATCTACTTTTACTGGGAGAAATTGTTAAGAATTTTTATTTTTGGGAAGATATTTATCTTTATCTTCAAAATTGACGAAAAAAAAAAAAACAAAAAAAAAAACTTCCGAGCGTTCGGACAGTTTCAGTGTTTTGAAGCTTCATATCAACAAGTCTCACAAGTTTCTGTTATCCAGAATGGTACAGAAATGTCGATAAGAAAAGTCAAGGAAGAAAATATAATTGAAAGACAATTTAAATATCTATCAACGATACTAACACAGTAAACGACACAAATCCGAACTTAACCGAATGGTTACGGAGATAAAAATGACTGATTTCTTGTTCAGTGCTTCATCTTGTGGTAAAAAATATTTACCAGAAACATATACACTGTACTATGTTTTTTACAGTATTTTTTTCAGTTCTATTCTTGGGGTTAGCAACCTTGGCGCTTGATGTTTTGCTCCAAAATCAAATCCCAGGCAAGCAGTTCCCTTATCTGTGTGAAGTTTCGTGTTGAACAAGAGGCCCAGGGGGCCTGCATCGCTAACCTCGCCTAATTCAACCAATCAGTCCTTTAACAAAGACTTTTAAATATGAAAACTAATTTCTGACATATTGAAATCCTTATTGATGCCTGTCCCTCCTGCTATAGGGGGCCAAAATGTACTATTTATACAAAACTGATTCCCCTTCAATCAAGTAAACTTCAAATACAATTCGGACAGAATCCTTTTATTTCTACAGAGAAAGAATTTTAAAGAACTTTCTCTATTTCCTATATTTGGTCCTGTTCCTCCCATCCAATGGAACCAAGACCTATCATTTATATCAAATGATCCCACTTCACTTGAGAATGCTTCAGACCAACTTTGGGCAAAATATTATCATTCATATAGGAGGAGTAGAATTTTAAAGAATTTGCTCTATTTCCCTATTGGTGCCCTCCCCTCCCGCCCCAGAAGGCCGTGCCAATGACATTATGTTACCTGTCCTTTTGGACCAGGTGAGAAAGAAAATTACCATCACTCTATGTATGTTATACGACCCTATTACAAGGGTCACAATGGGCCCGTAAATTAAGACACGAAAAAGTCATTTTCAGAAAACTTGAAAGACCATTACCAAAGCATACTGCTGCCAATATTGTGACTCTTGGCTTTACATTTGAATTTTTCTAAACATTTGATCAACGTACCTTTCGTCCTTCATATTCGAATCAGTTGACACCACAGAGCTAAGGATACTCAATTTTCTATAAACCAGAGGTTTGCACCCCTCCGTAAGTTAAATTAGAATTTGTTTTTAAATTTTGTTTGCAATATCAAACAGGGGCTCTGCCTCTCATCCTTTATCCAAGATGGCTACTGATCCGTTTTGGGATCTCCTACAACCACTGTTTCTTAAAATATAAGGATAAGCCAACACCTTCTCACCTATGTTCCCTTTTTACAGCACTATTCACTTGGGCTAATATGTACACTGTAGAACGTGATAATAGCTTTTGAGGTTTGGCGATTCATATAGTTACTTCTTTGATGTCATTTTTGTCACAGCATGACAAAAGAACCAATCATTTTGTCACAGCATGTTAAATGAACCAATCATTTTTGTCACAACATAAGAAATGAACCAATCATTTTTGCCACAACATAACAAATGAACCAATCATTTTGTCACAGCATGTTAAATGAACCAATCATTTTTGTCACAACATAAGAAATGAACCAATCATTTTTGTTACAGCACGCCAAATGCCCCAATCATTTTTGTCACATTATGTCACATGAACCAATCATTTTTGTCATAGCATGTCAAATGCACCAATCATTTTTGTCACATTATGTCAAATGAACCAATCATTTTTGTCATAGCATGTCAAATGAACCAATCATTTGCCTCTATTCACAATACAAAGCATATCATCAATGTGTACAAAAAACAAATATAATGAAGAAATCATGATCACTTATTTAATTACAAACAATTCTAGTTTCCAACAGTAGCAAAAAATATGAGTTTATAATGTTTTAATACGTATGAAAGTTCTATGGTCACTTCTTCAGAAAGTCTTTATTCATATCAACATTGGTCCTCTGAATGTTGTACTTGTTCCTTTTGATTCGGTCTGCCACTGAGCTCTTTTCTGCATGACTGGACATCATTGAACTGCGAAAAAAAATCATCATTGCCAATACAATGAGATCAAAAACACATAGGAATATAAATATTTGTACTTCAAGAAGAAATGAATGAAAACTGGAAGTTATTACTGTGAATCACTTATATATCATGTGGGATTTATATCACACAAATATAGAGGACAGTCAATCACAGACTCAAAGGAGGAGTGCCAATTTGGGCCTTCTGGCGGCCATGACCGATATTTTTTATTTCTTGTGTAGGAATTCCTTGGGGATAGGCGGTCATGATATGACATAAAATTAAGGTCAGATCTGAGCCATTCATTAGTTATGGGGGGGTAAAGTGGGGGGTAAAATTCATAAACAGCTCCATTATGACAAACCTACATTATATTTTTGGATTTTTTCTTCTTAATTTTCATGTAATAATCCATATCAAAACATTCATTAGTAAAATTGATTGAAAAAAATATTCCATTGTTGAAAAGTAGGTCATGGTAATTAAGCTCATTAATTGCTAATTATATTAAAGATGAACTTAATTTTCTGCC